ATGATGATGATGATGATGATGATGATGATGATGATGATGATGATGATGATGATATTATTGATTCCTCTGTATCTCTCTGATCTCAGGTCGGATGTTCAACTGCTGTAGGCCTACTATCTGGTGGGAGTCTTGACATAATAAATATGTCCAAACCATGTTCGTTGTTTTTCAATGTATTCCGAACAGTGAGTCGAGCCACGTTTCATTCCACACCCTGTCTCTTCTTGCGATATTCGAAGTTTTCGTTGGGGGTCTCATTTCACAGGCGTTTTTCTACTTTGGCGACTATTGTTTATTGTCAATTTTTGGACTTAGTTGCAAAGTGTTAGTTTGAAGAAGTTGTTAATGAGTATAATATGCTTTGTTTCCATTGTGGTGTTGGGATTTGAAAGTAAGATGCCAGTTGGTAAGTAACAGCATTGGCCGTTTATATAATAATATTTTTGTTACTAAATTTCTCTATTTTTCCGTTTTGGGTAATAGGCTCTCCAGGTATCTGAACTCTTCTTCATCCTTGTTTTTTTGCATTGTCGTTGTGATGATTAGTGGGTCTTTTTGGCGGATCTCGATCGCCTTGGTTTTGCTTGTGCTGATCTTCATATTATGCTCAAATATAGGCTTAAAGAAAGAGAAAACAAATCTTCCGAGAATGGTTTTGTTATCAGGCAAAAATCTGTAATACGTTGCGTGTTTCCGGTCAAGAAAAACATAGTTTAGAAAGGAGGAGGAAATTTCGAACTTCGAACTTTCTCGTAACAACATTCAGTTCTCATTGAGGTAATAAAATGTTTTTGCGCTGCCACTTCGATCCTGAAGAAACTGACACAAAAAGTATCCTTATCCTTTTTTTAACGCAGTTTTTTTTCTCGCTTCTATCGACATAGTTTAGATAATTTCGGAGGAGGGCTTCTGCATTATCTGCCAGGGCCAACCTAGACTGAAAGGGATACAACATCCCAGAAGAAAGATCGAGATTATCGATAAAAATACTACTCACCCCGGAATCGAACTCGGATGTCCTGCGTGCGACGGTGAAACTCCTGACAGCTACATCACAGAAGCCGATCGTATCTTTATATTATCTTAATTTCAGCGGCCTGTCAGATGGTCTCGAGCACAAACCTTCTCAGACGGGAAACGTAGATCAAGTTTTTTTTTTTACAGGAGGAAAACAGTAAACTGATTTGCCCTAACTTGGCTGCGGGACATAGATGGTTTGGTCAAATTGCTGTTTGGCAAATTTCTATTGGTTTGACAACTGAGATGTGAACAGATGTGGTATATAAAGGGTTTCCCTGCTACTGAAAGCATTTAAACATCATGGAGAAACTCCGCAATGATTATTATGCCTGAAGTCATGGTTGCTTCATGTATTCTTACCGTTTGGTCACACTCCGTGACCTCCCTGTCCACTAGGTGTCGACAGCCAGCTATATAGATTCTCTGCTCTCGGCATCGCTCTCGTTCACCTGGAAGAGAAGACATTTATCACTTTGGGAAAAATAAGCTGCCGTGTTTTGGTTGAGCAGATGTGTATTGTAGGTGAGTACCTTTTCCACTTTGTTAAACAAAAATCATTATTTTTCTGGTATTCTGCATTGTAGTTTGGCAGGTGTGTGTAGGTGTGTATGTGTGTGTGTGTGTGTGTGTGTGTGTGTGT